AAAGTTATCGTGTTAACAAATTTTTGCGTACAGGGTACAGCGTACAGCGTACAGCGTACAGCGTACAGCGTACAGGGTACCACGCACATACATTCGGACATCGAAAAAACGCTAGATTCGTGTTCCCTGGCTCCTAAAACACCCAGAAAACATGTTTTTTGAGGGTGTTAATTTTTCGACCGATTCCAATACTTTACCTTACACACTAGGTGTGTGCGGAAAAGTAATAATTACAAAATCCAATTACATTCTAGTTGAGTTATCGAAATCGTTTCTCACACATACACCGTTTGCATTTGCAGACCGTCTCTGGTCTCTATCGATGAGAACGGAGAAAGTCCCAAAAACTAAACTGTTGTTATTCTTTCTGCATTACATTCTTCGTTCGCCCAATGTTCTTTAATTTATGTAATTGCATTTTGTGTCTGCCGAAAATGAAGCGAAACATTCACTCAATGTGAACGGTGAGCACCGGTTTGCGAACGTAAAGCGAATATAGTGACTGGCATCAGTTTTGCTCGATACCAAAGTGTCCATCCGTATCGTGACGAATGAAAGTGTAATTAGTTGCTGTTAAATTTATTCGAATGTGCTGTTGCTCTGCTGTTACACATTGCCAAAAATGTTGCAGTTTTATATGTTGCTTTTATTAAATGATCCAGCAAATTTTTTGTGAAAAAAATACGTCCATTGGTGTCAAATGCAACTAAAGCACCAAGCAATGACCGATCCCAGTGTATTTATTAATTTGATATCATTTTTATATTGCAAAAACGCAAATATTTGACGCAAAAACTTGTTTATGTATTTTATTTACCCTGGTGAATGTTTTGCAAAGTGGGATGGAGAATGTTTGGTCGATTCATAAGTGTCATAAGCAGAAAATAAATTAATGCCATGTTTTTTGCTCTATTTGGGTGAAACCAAATGAACGAATAATTTTATACACACCCTTTCAAATCGAATCAAGCTGTCAGTGGTTGTGTATACAGTTTCGAATTCAACGATTCTCATGTATATTCAATTTCAATTTGGCCATCTGTGCCGAATGAATCGATAAAACCATTGACGATTTGTCTCTATCAGACGCCCGAAATGCACCCAATGGAACAGCTTTATTGATTTCGAATTACAATTGTTTTGCACACTATCTGAGTCGCACATTCATTGTTTTCGGGCTGAAGTCTGAATAGGTGCTGTTTATATCAACAAAAATGGCAAATGCAGACAAAATAGAAAATGAAATCAGCGAGATTGAGCCAAAAGGGATAAATGACTTTGGTTTTCTTCATACGATACTATTTTCCCTGAACGATATTATTCTTCATGAATGTCGGCACAAAAACGACGCAACATAATGTTAATAGGAAAGAGCTCTAACGACGCAATAACCTTGAGATCTCTTATCTTAAAGGAAAAATTCTCTAACCGCAATAACGAAAGTCTCAACGGAGCGAAAAAGTGCTGAACATTGGTTGGCACGATGACAGCGCGTCAACATGGTGAATCGATATTTTTTCTAATAAACAAAATACAGAGCATATAGACGCAAATCACGCGTAGAGAGAACATATACGTCTCACGCAAAATAAAATGTATGTTATGTCGCCTCTTCTATTTCCATCCATTTGACCTTGGGCTGCATGCTTACTAACAAGAAATGATAGCATTTAGAAATAGACACGAGATAGAATATTTTCGATTTTATTCAAGGCATTTATACGAAGTTCGCATTACGAAATCGAATAGTTTTATTTCAAAATGCTCGTTTATGAGCAGATGTAGTGGGTGTGGGATAAACACGCTAAATAAGTTCGGCAAACAACTGAATCAATGTTATTATGCTTGAAATGAGTCTTTTCTTAGTCGTCAAATATTCAATTCAACATTTTTTCTTTTGAATAAAGTTGATCAAATCCAGGATTTGGACAGCACAAATGTTCACATTTTTTAGAATGTCGCCGCAAAAATACGTGACGATGACAAAGCGCAATTTGATTTCATGCAGCTTATTAGATTATACAATTTAGAAGTCCCTCCAAACACTATATGCATTGCCGCACTGATGTCTGTTGCGGCTCTGACCTACATTCCGTTCAACATTCGAATTGAATTGGGGTGGTCGTTGCAAATGCTATTGATAAATGAATCGTCGCGTTGTTTGGTGACATTTTCTATTCGGTTACAGCCATATTTTCTTCAACAATAGAATAGAGTTTGCTCATTTTGAAACCTTACATTGAACCACTTTAATCGATCGACGGAGAGAGAGAGCGTGCGAGAGAGAAAATGTAAAATACCAGAAGTGAACTAGGCGACGCCCAAAGGTTCTTATGCAAAAATTCAAAATTTACATATTTTGATTGAAGCACGACACTTTTGGTATGTTGCGAATTTCGTTCTCTCTGTGTTTCACCCTTTTTTCCGTTGCTTCCGCATGGAATGTGGTCTCATTCTTTGTCATTATCACGTAAATTGAATGATGCGCAACATTAATTCATTAAAGTGAGTAAATTGGCACGAGGTCGGTGTGGAATTTCTCTGCGGGGACAATCAAGTGACATTGTTATTAATTTCGCATTCGTTTGTTATCAAATTACTTGTTTGTTTTTTTATATGCGTATGTTATTGCAGCGGTAATTTGAAAATAATATGTATTTATTTTCCCTTAGGCTATCGCTTGAATAAATTTTGCGGTGAACACTTAGTGGTGGTGAATGAATCCCCAGAGCCGGAACCAGAGATAGGTGATTCACCCGAGCCACGCTCTTTGCCGAATGAAAATGAAATCGAACGAATTCCGAGCGGTTTGCAAGAGGAGAACGGGGTAGAACGTGAAGGACCCATCGCTGAAGCTCTGATTCAAAATGAACAAATGTTTCATCATTTGAAAATACTAAAACCATCACCATCCGAAATGGAAAATCAACGACGAAAATCGACAGCAGAAGCTCAACAAATCGATAAACCACGAAAGGGAGTCTATTCACAGGTTTGTTTCTAACGTAATCACTGCAAAAAGTAGCAAAAAAACAAGACTAAAGCGAAAATTGGATTAATTTTTTTGCACATTTGCCAGATTACATCATTCCTTTAAGTAATTGAATCGGAGAACTACATAGCACCATTTTGAATGACGTAATGATTGTTTGTTTACTTTGTAATATGAAAAAAGAATCGTGTCGATTTCGAACATAGAAACAAAAATGTTCACTGGCATTTATCTCTCTAATGAGACTATAAACAGCTCGGAGTTAAATGCTTAATTGAAATTTGTTCAAGTCAATTAATCCAATTTTCATGTAGATATTCACACGTAGTGAAAACACACTGTTCACACAACCTGTTCAAAGGAGAAAATTCGTTCGTCGAACATGTTTTTTTTTTGTTTCGTCTCATTAATGTGGAATTTGTTTTTGTTCTCACAGGATTTTCGTGTGATGAAGGTGTTGCCATCAAATTTGGACGATTTTAACGATATCGAAAAAATTGCCGACGAATTTTATTTTAAAAAAGATGAAGAGGATATTGTGCGTACCGATGTAGACCGTGAGAATGCGATGAACATAAAAACCACGGTTGTTGATTCAACAGAGCCCTCAATTTATACGAGTCATATGAATACCATTGAACATGCAGATAACACAAAAAATGTCATCGAAAATTCGTTCGATAGCAGTAATAATGGGTTACGTGACGTTCGATCAACACAGGGTTACGATGAACTGCACAATCACAAGTACCTCTCATCCATTTCAGTACCAACTTCAGATACCACCGCCACGCACACACAACAACATACCACCAATGTTAATTTATGGAATAATGAATTACTACCACCGAATACAAATATTTTCGAAACATTGCCAATCGATGGTGGCAATGACATTTTTATCACAAATGAAAACCAAACGACCGTTGAATCGAACGCAAAAATTCGCATCGAAAACGATTTTACGGCGATAAATACACATCGAGCAGACATTAGCAAAGAATGGGACGATGATGAAGAATACGATGAGAGAAGCGACGAGGATTTAGAGATTAAGGTCGATGGACCAAGAGTCTGGCGTAAAAATAAAATTCGACAACATACAAGCTATCAGAAAACGGCCATTCGACAACCATTTTTGCAACAGGGTTTCATTCAATCACCCGGATACCCGATGTTTTATATCGGCAATTCGAACTGTAGTTGGCGCATCACCGTTCCCAGTGGACAACGCATTCGACTCATTTTACTCGATGTCGATTTGAGATGTAAGTTATCAACTGTATTGAAAAGAAACAAAGGTAAAAAAAAACACTTTTTTCTATTATAGATGATCCAGTTTGCAAAGACTATCTTCAAATTGTCGATGTTGATAACAAAATGTTGTTATACAGAAATTGCACCGAGGTGGTTAAACCAATGGAGATATTGAGTGAATCGAGCGAAGTGCAGGTATGGAATTTTTTAATTGAAACAACATTTTTCATGAAAATGATTGTGTTGAGAGATACTTTAGAAAAGCAACTCGATATAGAAAAAAACTGAATGTAATTTCCATTTCAGATTGCAATTCGAACGACATCAACATTGGCCTATCCGAAGCGTGGCATATTAATTTATTATACAGGTAATTTTTATAAAAACCAAGATCTCATCTGAACTCTCATTGCTTCATCCAACCGCACAAAACACTTCAATGCACCATGTGAGCACGATATTTATCGTCAGCGGATTTTCCATCCACATTCAAGACACCATCCAACCACATTATTTTACTTTCGTATTGAGCATTTAGATGGCGTTCAAATCGATATTTGTTTATGTACATCATATTCATACACCATACATATCATTAGGCACACATTGTTGATTGTTTTTTATTGTTCGTGTGTGGGTTGGTTGTTTGATCAAAATTTCCACTTTATTTTTCCACACACAGCACATGGATGTCTGATTCCAACGGCACCAAACAACGGTCAATTAGTATCGAAAACAGACGATACGGTCACCTTTCTATGCGAACCATCATATGTATTTCCCGATACTCTACAAATCAGTCGTACATTATACTGCACCGATCGAAATACATGGCACGATAGCTTACCAAATTGTCTTGGTATGAGGACATTATCGATTCGCTTTAATAAATCAATTTTTTGCTGATTGTTTGAAGCGCTGCAGTTTATATATATTCTTACCGCTTATTTATTGGCTTAATATTTATACTTTTTTCATTCTTTAATGACTCGCAACTTTGTTCTTATTAACTATTATCAAAAAAAAAATCATTTGGTTACATGTGACTTAATTACAATTGTTTGCCAAATTTTTTGTTGTTGTTTGTTACATGTGTGTGTCACATGTACATCTGTTCACACACCTACTGTACCAAATCACAATTGTGAATCGTTTGACAAACAGATACAGAACATCTGAGATAAGACGACTACACTAATTAGTCTATGACGCTTCGTTTGCCTTCAGTTTGCTTTGAACACTTGAACTATATTGTTCGTAAATTTATATACTGTGTCAACTGTTTTGTTTTTTTTTTTGGTTTATGTTCGACACGGTCGGAATATTTCCACAAATTCCATTCAAATTGATAACCACTGTTTGGAAATAATTTAAAATTGTGTTTGTTTCTATTTGTAAAAAAAATGTTTCCACTGCCAGAACTTTTATATCTCTTATTAAGTGAGTTGTTTTTGTTTTTTGAGTTTTTTCTGTGATTTTTTTATTTTGATTTTTGTTGGAATTTTTTTTTCGTATTTTTGTTGCCGCATTAAAATTGGGATTTTTTTGGTTTTGAACGTTACTAAGCATATGACAGAAAAATTAAATGTAGGAATTATTGCTAAAAGTTTAAACGAATTTTCATTTTATTCCAGAGCATACATCGATCAAAACAAAGAAGGAAGATCCATTTGTGACTCAACTGTGGAAACAAAATCGATCAGGAACGAAAGTCGATCAGGCCGACGCAATCTACGATATTTTAATTCCATTGTTGATAATGACCGGTCTTTTTGTCGTCAATGGATTTATATTATTGGCCATATGGCGATATAGAAAGAAGAGGTATTTTCGTTTTTTTTTTTCAAAAGTTTTACCTTTTGGTTTGAAAATTTTCGATTTGTTTTTTTTTTTTTTTTCAAAATCCTTATCAAAAATAAATTAAACGCCTTTCTTCTATTTACAGGAAAAATGAACAAGAAGAAGAAGGCCTCGCTCAACTGTAAACGCTGTTTTGATGAATGTTATTAATTTGCTAATATGTAGTCTGTATATATGAAATGGTGATATAAATGATTGTATCATTACGACATGCACTTAAGAAATCTGCTTTCTTTTAACAATAAATATCAATTGTTTGAGCAAGAACCACAAATAATATCGTTATCTGGCGTTGACTCAGGAACATCCACATATATATATCGCGATTCTGTATCACAAAATATAATCCAACAAATGACAAATAGAGTCGCATTTTTAGAAACCGCTTCAAAATAGCAGCACGTGAAATCACAATTGTATGCCAAAGAATAATAAGCTGCAAGAAAATACATGCATGTCTCCATTGTTCCCAATGACAGCAGAACCAAATTAGATGTAATAAAAAAGAAGAAATGTTTTTAGTGTAAATAATTTCATGTCATTATGTTAGACAATATGTCTCGGTTAAAGCAATTCGTACGGTGTATTTAATTCTGTTTTAGAATTTTAGTTTAATTTATACTGATTTTGTTAATCAAACGACAGGGCATCAATCATTGTCCATATAGTCCAATTATTTATTTATTTGTTTCCCATCGACTCATTCTTATTTTTTTTTAATTTCGAATGTCAGCATTTGAACCGTTGCGAAACATTGTTACCCTCAGAAAAGTTAAGAAAAAA